CCTCTCTCCCCCTCTCTCCCCCTCTTGCTCTCGTATTCATCTTTCTGCTCAATAAATTTAGATCGTGTCCGCTTTAGAAATCAACCTTTTCTGTCTTCTGGTGCATCTTTTTGTTTGTTCTGTATTAAACGAGCAAAACCCTGTACTAGACACAATTCGTTTATGATTTCAATGCTGGCCGTTGACAATGGCAGTTTGGGAGTTTGGTTGTTGGCGACGTCCTGCTCGAAAACTGTGTAATAATAGGCCTACTACGCACGTGTAAAAGGCCTACTACACACGTGTACACTGGTGGTTTTAAGAAAAAAACCCCAGGGGTGTTGAGCAAGGGGGGGGGGGACGCACTTTTTTACTTATTATCTAGCAGATTCGCTCAAAATATCACGTAGAGTGGTGCTACGAATGGTTGGCAGGTGCTCTGGTGTGGCTTGCTTCTTCTTTCCTATCGTCCTTATCTCCCCTCCTTCTTTTTTTAAGTTTGTTACTCTCTTGTAACACCTTTAATCTTCGGACGCTCATATGACCTTATTATGCAGTTGCGAGCGCCGTAAAACATCTACTAAAACTAAAACTAAATGAGAGGTGCTATTTGTTTATATAATATATGAGGCAGCGAGGTGGAATCAGGCTCTAGTCAATTTTTGGGCTTGTAGAGTTATTGGTATCTTCTTAAAGCTGGTTCACTTGTCTTTATTTGGATGAAAAAATATCCATTTATCTTGAATACAAGTCAAAATATTTGCGTATGAAGGGGGTGGGGGTCGCCTGTTTTCAGAGGTAAAATTAGTGAGAAAATGGCCGCCAAAGACTAGTCATTTCCTTAGCTTAAGAGTCCGTGGTAACTGAAAACTTACATTTTTTGTGTGCCTTTAATCAACAATGAGTTCTTTAATGGGCATGAAAGGTGTTGAGCCAAAAAACAAAAATTTGATAAAAATTCACAAACCAGCAGAAAAATGAATGTTTCTTCACTTTGATTATTTTGACGAGAGTCTGATTCCACCACGCTGCCTCACATATAATATGGTATTACTAAGCGTAATTACGGTTGCTTTTGTTGATGTTGTTTTTACAAAAAAAATATAGGCTATGTTTTTTACGCTCCCAAAGACACAATTTGGATTATTTAGGAGGCGGGATTCCCACCCTGCCGGCCAGAGACAACGCAGGCTGAGGAGAGGGAGAAAAAAACCCCAAAATGCTCCCCCCAAAAAAAGTAAAACAAATTCTCACCACTCGCGAATCGAACTCTGGTCTTATACGGGCGTCAGAGAATTGCCTGACCCTGTACCCGTGGTTTTATGCATCCTGCATAATTTAGCAAAATTTGATCTTTTTAAGCATAATTTCTTATTATTTTCCTTTATCATTCTTTGATGAAATTAACAGAATCGCATAATTTCACATTTTTGGGCTCAGTTTGCATAATTTCAGAATTTTTCTTGCATAAAACGACGGGAACAGCTAACCTCTACACCACAGACACCGTTATAATTTATAGTTGTAAGTAATCTGAGCCAAAAAATTGTTTGGCCTACTTTGGCAGTTACCTGGTCCAAGTCGGACGCTGTCGTTAGGCTAACTAGTACTGTTCGAGGATGGATTTATTTAGTAGAGGTTTTACGGCATTCGCAACTGCATAAGGTCATATGAGCACCAAAAGATGGATGTCTTTACAGAGAAGTCTTTACAGGGAATCAGGCTTACTCTGCTCCCCTCTCTAGCTTCGACAGCACAAAGCCTGCTTCGACTATCAAGGCACCCCGGAAATAGCGGGTCGCAAGACGAATGTGACAAACATATAAAAGAAGTAGAGGAAAAATGACGATAGTAGGGATTAGGAAAGAAAAAGCAGCAGTTCCCTGTTGTAGATCAGGGACAGTTATGAGCGTGACATTGATGAATCAGCCCATTTACTATTCTTCTGCGCATGAACGAGAAATGTCATCACCCTTTGGGAATGGCCTAAAGACACTTCAGTCAGTGGCACCGCCCCGGGGGTATTGGCCTACTTCGGCAGTTACATGGTCCAAGTCGGACACTGTCGTTATGCTATGCGCTAACTAGTGCTGTTGGTGGATGGATAGGGATCATAAAATCGAGCAGCGGTTAAAACAATTATACATATAATAGCAACAGTACAGAACTGATCACCCCTCAAATAAAAACAACAACAACAACAATCCCCCCCCCCATCCCCATCCCAAAACATCATCAACAACAACAACAACAACAACAACAACGACAACAACAACAAAACCCCAAAACTCAAAATAAAAAACACAAAAGATAGACTATAGAATACTGAACATAACTTCACACAAACTAAAAACAACAACAACCAGTCGACCGCCCCCCATCCCCATCCCAAATCCCCCATCCCCTACCCCACCCCTCCCCCTCACCCACCCTCCGAGTTCCCCCAAGCCTCACCAAGTTAGACGAGTGAGAGGAGCGGCCCAGCCAAGCATACATGACTCGTCTCATTGAAAGACAAGACGACCCTGAACAAATTGTGACGCGACGCGGTGGAATCAGGTGTTAGTCAACTTTTGGAATAACAATATTATAGAGCTATAGGTTTAACCTTAAAGTAAGCATGTTTATTTGCCCTTCTTTTGATGAAC